GCACCTGCGAAATTGTTTTGCATTATCTTACATTTTTTCTTCTTTTTTCCTCAGTAAACAATGTTCAAGGTCAAGTCATCTGTTAACACCTGTTGAGTAATGGGCAACAACAGCATCGGGTGCAAGAGCTGAGTGGATTTGTTATCAACAATTTAATTCATAAACTTATTTTTAGTTCAGCTTGATAGTCCACTTAGACCTATTATCAGTCAATAAATGAATTTATTTATAACTATCTCTCAGTCTGATACTTTATAGATCGGTTAATTTTCTCTTTGCTGATGTGGAGCCTACAACACAGATGATTTTTTAACGCAGTTAATTAATTTTTATATGAGATCTAAATAAAAAGGGGATTTTTTCCATAAATGACGCTCACACGTGATTAAGGTACATCTTGATAGAAAACTGAAGTAGAAATGGCAAATGAAGAAAGATAAGTCGAGGCAAAAATGGAGAGAATGCTGCTGCAAAAGGTAGTAAAACATATCCTATAATAATGGAGAGTAATAGAGTAAGCAGAGAAGCAGCATATCCACTCCTCTAGGATCTCTGCCAATATTATCAACAGAAGTAAAAAAAATCGGCCTTTTAGAGCAAAAATTTATTCACAGCTAAACAAACTATTAATTTCAAGAGTGATTAAATAACACAATTCTTAGATCCATTTCGCAAACTAGTGCCAGCTGATTCCCACGGCAGAGACGCTTGCTTTCTAAGTATGTCAACACTGGAACTGGAGCCCAAAGGCACAGCTGCTTCATTTAACTATTTATCTAATTCTATGTTGACTTTATGACAGTTCACTTACACCTGGCAATCAATCAAGAGTTTCATTATCAAGCTGTGAGGGAACCGATCTCTGGCTGCGCTGGCACACACTCTTTCGCCTTCACGCTGTCTATCTTTCCATTACCGAGTCTTGACCCTACTCGAAAAGTGTTTGAATGTTGTTGCTGCTGCTCCGACTGCTCCGACTGCTCCGGCTGCTTGGGCTGCTTCGGTTGCTTGGGCTGCTGTTGTTTATGTTATTAACACAACAAACAACCACTTAACTTTGTAAATCTGTTCAGCCATTTAGCTTTGGCTCTAAAAATAAACTTCAAAGCAAAAGGCGGCAGTCTGCGTCGTCGTTGGCTTTGTCGTTTGGCCAAAAATAAATATTGAGAAACCTATTTTTAATAATGCCCCGGCAATCGGTCAATTGCACAAATTGAAGTACGCCTCATATTAATTGGCGTCTCGGCAGCTCAACACGTGTCCACAGATCGACAGATCGACATTCGATTCGACTCGACACGGACTTGAAAGCATAGACTGTATTGGCTGTAATTGTCTCTCTGTCTCTCTCTCTCTCACTGTCTGTCTCTCAACTGTTTAATGCGTAATCATTATTATTAATTATGGTATACAATTATGTATATTTGAGCAATTTGCCTAGACAGTTGCTGTTAATAAACATAGCATAACAATTTGTGCAGTGGCAAACGGTAATTGCCAGAGCAGTTCGCCTCTTGCAGTTCATAAATCAGCGCGAACTGGCAAAAGTATCTGACAGATACAAATGGCATATGGCCGCAGAACCTGGCGCACCGAAGCGTCGCTTAATGATTGCAACGTTTTTACGTACATTTACACTTCATCAATTGCGTAGTTTGCAGTACCAGCAACCACAACAACAACTATAACTGAGGGCAACAACTTGAACATGCGAATTTCAGCTCGAATGAAAAATTACGCAATGAAAATGTCATCGCCTCTCTGTATCATGCAGGCCCGTTTAATCAGCGGAAAGCATATATATGTACGTATGCATATGCATATGTATGTATAGCCGATAGTCAAGTTCTATTTGAACCGATCTGAAAAGCCATTACGCAGTTTTTGCTTTTTGGCTTTATCTATAAATAGCCTGATAATATACATATATCTAGCTAGCTAATGCGTAATACCAACAGCGCATTTCAGTTAATGAAAATCGAATCGACAATCATCAAGTGGATTATTATTATTATTATGTGTTCTATTGCAAATTGAGCTATATGATAGCTGAGCTAAACAATTTTATATCTTTCTCAATTATTCTAAATATAAACGCGTAGGACTTCAAGCAACAAAAGCATGACAAATGAACTTGAAAGTTAAGAGAGTCAATTTGGATCTATAAAATTTCATTTATAATCTATATTAAAACTGTTAGAGTTGATAAAAAAAATGCGAAAATGTCTAGACAGGCCAACCATTATCTTGATCATTCTACTTATCATAGGCACTGTTGCTTTCATTGCATTTATTATATTTAGCATTGCTATTATCATTGGCATTATTAGCATAGTCATTGCCATTTTTATTTTCATAAGCTTTGTCCTTGTTATTATCATTGTCATTGTCATTTTCATTTGCATAAGCATTACTATTATCATTGACATTGTCCTTTTCATTGTCCTTATCATTGTCATTGTCCTTTTCATTATCCTTGTCATTAGTATCCACATAAGCATGACTATTATCAAGTCAATATCATTAGCATTGTCATCGTCAGTATCATTATAATTATTCATACTACTGATAAATCTGATGTTATCAGTGTATATATCGAGGGATTCCTTTGCAATCGCTTATCGCATCGCCTCTCATGCCCATAGCTTAACGAATTTATGTTCCCCCTCTCTTATACGCATATAGAGAGTAATCTATAGCTGCACTATGTTTTCATTGAGCTGCGAGCATTGTTTGTTTACACTGTTGCTGCTGGTGGTCAGCTGGCTGGGAGCTCATCTCTATTTCGTCTCAATGTTACCCATCTCGTTTTTGTGTATATTCAAGTGATTATCTAGCCAATTAGTTGAACGTTAATTAGCCGCATGCCAATATTTGCATTGTTCTTCTGTTTAGTTTAATTACAACAATAATTTGGAGGCTACCAATTGCGACTTACTTGAACAGCATGGCAAAAGCAAAAAATTATGAAAGCAAAATGCGTTCGCCCACCCACTTCCCGTCCGACCAGCCACCCATCCCCATCCCCATCCCCATCCCCATGCCGTACCCACACCACTATAGGAAACTCAGACCCAACACGCAATTTGCTTTCATAATGCGCATTTGGCGAGTGGGGCGCCACATACACAAGATTAGACAAAAGCTAATGGCGATGCATATGGTCTGATACATACGTACGTATGTCCGATTATACACAGCCGATGTGTATATAGTCTATATGGTACGCGGCTGATGAGTGCGAAAGTCGAAATGGGTCACTAGATAGGCTGCACAATACGCATATGCACGTGAGCGCACATTTTCTGAATGATTTATGAGCGACGTATCTGAGGTCCTATGACCGGAGTCTCGAGCGTGTAGCGGGCGTGTTTCTTGCCAATTTGCGATATCGGCTGCCATTCTACAACTATATGGTAATGCACATAAATCAGCTGCACTTGCCGCAATTACCCAACACACGGCCTGCTTGCTGTAAATCTTGTCAGTCAATCAATTTAATGGCCGCATTACACCTTGATCCAGCTCGTAACTTGACCATATCGAGACCCTGGCACCTGCACAATGCAATTTGAAAATTTCGTTGATAAACATAACTTGGACTGCCTTTGTTGTACTGGCTGAGTTCCCAGCAAAAAAGAAGGTAAAGCGCTTTGGCTCTGCGCCGCAAACGTTGCACGAATTCGCTTATCAGCGAATGCGAGTCAGCGATTAAATTGGCAATTACGAGTATATCGCCACATCGGCGCCTCGCACGTGACCAGTTTCAAGTTCAGCGCCGCATAATTTCACGACTGTCGTATAAAATAAATAAAAAGCCAAGAGACGCACCACAATACACCACGCACCACCCAAAGGCCAACCTGCCAGCGATAGTCTCTTATCTAATGCTTGTTTGCAACGACACACTCTCTCACTCTCTCTCTCTCTCTCTCGCACACTCATTCTCAATGTTTTTCTTTCTCTCTCTGTGTCTGCACTGGCCACACGCGTTACGCGATGCCCTACGGCAGCGACAGCTTGACGGACAGCCGTCACTTGGATTATGGAACTAAAGCCAATCCAAACACAGAAACTAAACTGAACTTCAGCGCGTGTCAAGGCCAGACAATGGCAGCTGCAATGGCCAAGACCTCGATTACATGCGCCGTTATATGACTGCGAAGGGGTTGCATGAGTTCATAACAATTATATAGAATTTAAAATGCATGTAAGAATGCTAAATAACGCATACATAAGACACATGGATAGTAATATCCTGAGATTATGCTTGACTTTTTCTCGGAATGAGAAGAAGTTGTAACTGTGGCTCTTTACAATAGAAAAAGTGTAGAAAATAGTCTGAGAGATGGAAAGCTGCTAGAAAATGTCCCTGTATATATTAGGAATATATGCTCTTGAGCAATTAGATCAATTAGATCAGCAGATGTCCTGCTCTCAATCATTTATAGCTCTAACTGTAGATCACACTTTACTCAACTTTACTCAACTGTACACTACTTCCTCCCTTACACATGATATATACTCCTAAAGCTTATCTGCTGATAACTTTAACTTCAACAAAGAACTCTCATTCTCTTTCGCCCGCCTTGAAGCTATTTATGACAGATCAAAGTTCAGTTGACTTTTTCTATTTATCACTAATAGTAGATTGAGTTAATTCCATCCAAAATTTATGATCGCTCAAGTGAAGTGCCAAAAGTAAAGCTCCTTATAAAACCGCTGTGAGCGCAGCGCAATAAAACGTATTTATAGGCAATTCCATGGAAAACGGCTAATAATCGCATTAAATCTGATTGAACTAGTTGACACAAGGGAAACTTCACGAGCCAAACACTTATCGTAAAGGCAAAATTTGTTGTTGTTTCTTTATTTTTTTTTTTTTTTAAAGAAAACAAAAGTGTTTTTTCATAAAAGTGTAAAAGTGTAAGTGTACAAACAATCAATCGAATGATTCGGCGAAATACGGCGAAGCGCCATATTTCACAATGATTGGGGGATTTTTTTTGCTTTTTGTTGGGGGGTGTTTGGTTTTTATTGATCACTCGATTTGTGTGGAAAATTGCGATGATATATTTTTAACATTGCTGATGAATTTTCTATTTTGGTTTCGATTTCGATTTCAGCGATTGGCATCGGCGTCGCTGATGGCGGCGGCGGCGGCGGCCTCGATTGTTTGTAGTCTATTTCGGGTAACGTTTCATAAAATGGCATTAAGTGGTATTAGGGCTGCCAAGCGTAGACTGTTGCTCGTGTTTTCCATTGAAGTGCTGCCGAATCGTGGCCCAATGACACCTGTGGCCTCTGCCTGTGACTTTAACTAATGATATTTTAAACGGAAATGCCGCCGACATCGACACCGTCGCCTACTTCTAACGCTTAGCGACCACCATTGCCATTGCCACCGGCGCCACCGCCGCCGCCAGCTTGGGCGCCCATGCTGAAGCCGGCGCCTGCTCCACCACTGGCTTCGCCACCGCCTTGACCCTCGGCCTCGCCAGCWGCTCCAGCTCCGGCACCAGCGCCCATCGAAAAGCCCGCTTGAGCACCTCCCTTCGCTTCTCCTTCCTGAGCCTGCACAGTGCACTGCACGAAATTTGAGAGAGTTAACCGAAATACGCTCTAGTTGCCTCTGAATACTAACCAGCAGCAGCGCCAACGTGACGCAGGCCAAAGTTGCGAAGAAGATTTTCATAGTTACAGCTATGAGTTGACAAACGAAATGAACTCTACTGCTGTGGAGCAGCTCAGCTTTATTATATATAGGGAATATAGGGCCAAGGTTCAGGCAAGTTTCAAGAGTGCAGCACTGACTGCTCAATACTCGCTCAGAGTCGGAATCAAGGCAACCTTTTTTAGAAATTTACTCAGAGCTCTCTACCATTTCCTCTCTCTGAGTAGCAGCTTGATATCTCTGAAATATCTACCGAAGCAGGTCAAGCCTATACAAGTGTAACTTATATAGACTTGCTGCCTTTTCGTTTCTAGCTCTCCCAACATTACCCAAAGCCGATCCACCCCTTTTCAACTTTGCTAGGCCCTCATAGCAAACTTGTCAGAGATGCGTATCGCAACCTTATTACCAGAAAACCTCCCACAAAAACAAGTGCTAGATCACAATCAGCCGCTGCTGCTGCTAATTAAATACAAAGTTCATGCCAAAATAACATTTTCCGGCTGTCGATATCAATGTGAATTGTCGTGAATAGCATTTGATAAGCTCGTGCGCAAATTTATTTTTAATGCAATTACTATTTTGTTCTGTTATTGTTGTGTATTTTCATTAGATTATTAAAATAAAAAAAATAAACAAAGCAAAAAAATAGAAATAAATTATTATGTGTTGACAAACGTCTAATTGGCGCCCGTTGGACGGGCTCGCATGTCTATTAATAAATTAATAGCCTATGTCAATCAGCCAATCCCTCCGTGTCAATATGTCAATCTGCCAGTGTCTAAACATTGTTGTTGTATTCGTAAACAACATTGTGATACTTAACTAAAAACAAGTAAGCTAATATCAGGAACTGAACAACTTGGCAATACCCTGAGCACTGCAAGCTGCTGATAGTCGTATGTGAAAATGAAATAATATGATATTGGTATTCTCAGTTAGAAGTAAACGAAATCTAGCTCCTGCAATCCCAATCGATAATGATGAAATCGGATGAGATATTGGGTTAAAATAAATAAAATCGAATTGCATAAACATGTTGTACAGGATGGACAGACAGGTCGACAGCCGAATAGACCTTCGCACTGATCGAGCACATATTTACTTAATGGCCAGGCCCTTTGCTCCAATTAAATATATTTTTCCCAAACCTATTATACCCTGACTTTCGATTTTTAATGGGTATATATTTGGCAAAACTTATATAGTACAGTTGAGAGATAACAGTAAATAAATGGAAAATGAATCTATAATATATATAGATCGAAAGTAATACATACATACAGACTGAGTCCCTCCTTCTCATCCATCCCCTCTTCATCATTCACCATATTCTACTATATTACGTATTCAAATCAGCGAATAGCTCAAGCATATAATATTATACCATAATATCATACTTAAATAATCCAGCTGCGAAAACAATGCAAGGCTAAGAAAAGCCGACTTCCGACTAATAGCGACTAAGCCGACTAATCGATGATCAGTTAGTCAGTCATCAAGTTTAATTAAAATAATTGAGTTAGTGCAGCTGCTGCTGCAAACAGTAGTCTAGCAGAGCTGCATCATTTTGCAAATTACATTGGCAAAACAACAGCAATAAAGGTAAACAAAACAATTACAATAAACAATCATAGACACACACACACACAGACAGAGAAGGAGACAGACAGACACGTATAGAAAACCCAATGATATTTCGAGTTAATTTGTTTATTTGCCTGGCGCAGGCAATTGTTGCTGCTGTTGCTGCTGCTGCTGCTGCTGCTGCTGCTATCGGTAGCAATCATTAAAATTTAAACAAATAAATAAATAAACCACATGCCGATTTGACCAAATGCAGTTGCCAATTGTTTCCCATTGCATTACCACGTACTCAATTGCTCTGCTCCCTCACCTTGTCTGAGAGGAAATTTCAGCTTAATCAGGGCATGTGTAAGCAACAACAGAAGCAATGCTGTGATAACACAAGAGACACGCTTAAATTTGATAGGCTTATTTGGACTTAAAGTGTAATCGATATGGACTTTCTCTCTCCAAATTGCCAGAGACATCATATCATCTATTATCTGTTTTTACACATTTGCTTCAATATAGTCTAATTAATATTCCCTATAATATTTCTATAGGGTATTCAGCTGTCGTCCCATCTATTGCTCTTGGGCCTTGATTTTTATTCTGATTTTATATTTTATTTTATTTCAGTTTATTTCGCCACAATTTATTTATTTACATCGCTGCGACTGTTATTAGACATTGTTATTGTTATTGCTATTTTCATTGTTGCTGTTGTTGTTGTTTATGTTTTACGATTATTTTGCCATCGGCAGCCGCTTTGTTGTTTGTGGGTGGCCACAATAATGGCAGTAATCGGCGATTATCACGTAGCTCCCCAAAACCCATTTCCAATCATATCAATCGCCGTCAAATTGACTCTGACAGCCCGCCCCAAACACGGTATAAAAAGTCAATGTATAAAAAACAAAACAATATATATTTATGTATATATATAGAAACGCAGTTCAGGCAGTAAATCTCATTTAAAATTAAATCAAAATTAAATGTTCATCAAATGCAATAAAAATCATTGCGCGTGTAATTTTTAAATTTGCTTATATTTCTCCACCACCCTCTACTCCTGCCCCCAGGCCCCAGCCAACAGCAGCTGACTGAAATTGGATTCTGCTGGAGATGCGGAAGCCCATTTATGAGATGCGAATATGGGCTATATAACTACGCTACGGCTCAAATGTGTTTATAGACTGCACTTTTATAGTTTTTATCGTTTTGTTGTGACAATAATAAAAAGCGAGAATATCCCATTAATATATATGGATATATGTATTTATTTATTATCAGACTTTATTTGAGATGACTAGAAAATGAATCACCCTTACTGGGAATCCCTAAAATCATGAGAATGGCATGACATCTTTGAAGGTAGAGGAACAATAATAAAAGGTAATTTAAGACGGACTGAGAGTGATAAACAAATTAATAGATTCACCTATAGAAAGAAAGAGATATAGAGAGAGAAAGGGATATGTATATTACTCCGAACTCTGGTAGAGATAAACTTTGAGATAGAAAGAGGGAGTAAGAGGGAGTAAGAGGGGTATTGTAAGAAAAGTATGAGAGGAATAGATACATATATGAAATCAAAACGATCAGAGAAATAAAAGAAAAAGTATTAGGCTAAGTCTTAACGGAGCTAAAGCACACATTTGTTTTAATTTCTGAAGATAACGGAACTTTTCATTAAATTATTATGTACTTCTCAGTAAATGAAAACGAATTGGCATTTTCAATTAAAATAAAGGGACAAAGAGATCAATTTGAAGGTTGCGTTATGACAAAATTTGATATGCGATTGCCAATTGCCAATTTGCAGGCAATGCGGAAAATATTGAAATGTTGAAATGTTGCAATGTTGCAGTTGCCTGCCGAGAGTCGAATGCAATTTTCAATTTGGTCAGTTTATGCGCATGAACGACCCCAATCCACAATCAACAAGGAGCAGTCGACTAACGCCTACGGCACAAGCCGACAATCCTTTTGTGAGTGCAAAACGTATGCTTAAATGGATAGACAGATGCTTGCTGGCCTCTCTGTGGTGTGTCGTCCTTCACAGTCCGCCCACAGAGATGACGGCGACGACGACGCAGCCGAGGGCGGGTCAATGAACAGGCCATTGATGCAGGGGAGTGGGGGGAGTGTGGCCCATGCACTCGCAAGGATAATTGAATATGACGATGATAATTTCATTTTACGCTGAATAAACACAAACTGCACATTTTGATACGTTGCCCGGCCTCGGCCTGTCCCTTTGTCTTGCTGCCCCGCTGCCAGCCTCCCTTGGTCAGCGCGTCAATTAAAGCGCCCACAAGCAAACGATATGGCCGCCCAGCTAGCCCAATCTAGTTTGAGGCGGAGCCCAACTTAATTATGAAACAGGACGCGCGTGGTCGTTGGCTGGATAATGACCTTCATCCGAGCTTTGCTTCTACTCAATCGTATTGTTTATCCGTCTCTTCAGTGTGATACACGCTCACAGCAATGCAGAGGGGTGTATGCACAGCCCTAGGACCATCGCAGTAGCCAGGAAATAAAATCTGAAATCAACTCTTAAGTGCGTATACTTGGCTCAACGTAAACTCTGAGCCCGTATTGAAGAGTCGACTGCAGCCCATTGCTGAGCTGCTTCTTATGTTTTCTTAAGGCACATAAATCATGCCCATCGATTGCGACTTATCGACTCTCGGCTCGACTGGGCTCGGCCTGGCCTGGAATCCCCACGCAATATTCGCAGCTTAGCTTAAGTATGTACCTTCCACTTGACGCTGTCGCCGACCTCGACGTCCTCATCCTCGTTTTATTAGTCACAATTTGCGTTTTCTGCGACTTCATCGTAATTATTTACAACTAAGATTGTCGGACAACAGTCGGACGTCTTGCATGCCAAGTGTTGCACAAGTACAACGAGTCTACCCAACATGCCCACATTGAAGAGACGGCCCCAGTGCCAGCCCCAGTGCCAGTGCCAGTGCCACTGCCAGGGCCGTAGTCGGCTCCATTGACTGAGTATCGGTATCTGAATCTGTGGGATTGCTGTGACTGACTGCGACTGTGCTGCGCCTTATCGGCGGCGCCTCCAGCTGGAATATGTCACACGTACCCGTCAAATTTTCTCAGAAATAATAAAAACCAGCCACAACAACAACATCAGCAATAACGAAAACCGCAAAATAAATAATGTTGGCGTGGATATGGAATATGCAATGCTCTGCACTTTACACAGCGATATAAGGGACTTTTTTACAGCTATAATCGCAATCTGAAATAAATGCCGGATAGCAATTGAAAGAGCTGCAAAAAATGGGAACAATACTTTTTGTTTGTTCTAGAAAAACAAATACAAGTAAGGGACTACGTCAGGCCGAAGCTTAAATTAGGCCAAATTGATTCCAAGAATCCAAGGCATTAGACAGTCGTCCAATCTTGCTGCTGACAGAGCTAAGTTGCTGAAGTTCAAGTTGTATTTTTATCAAAAAATC